GGACGTGGCTCAGTATCCAGCTGAAGCTGAGTCTCTAGAAACATCTGGGTGATGACCAGTCACCCTATTTAATCCAGTCCACCAGGGATACAGCCGCACCGACGAAATACATAAAAAGCCAGATGCACTCAGCAAAGAAATTAATGTTTATTGAATTAAGATATGTGGAAAAAACCAAGCTTATGTTTCCCCTCCAAACCGGTTTGGGGTGAAATGGGGAAGAAACAGAAGAGCATAAACAGCTAGTCATAAGCAGCTAGTATAAAGTAACCAAGGAAAACTTCCCCGGGGCCCTTGCTTACCCTTGGAGAACACAAGCCACAAAAGACAAAAGAAACTCTAAATTTAAATTAGGAAAAGGGCAGACCAGCCTTTATTCAGCTCCCCTATCTTCTTATTTGTTAACACCTTTAGCTAAATGGGCCTTTTTCCCCCTCCATTACCAGAGTTTGAACTCATGACCTCTTGGCTTGCTTGGCTTGCTTTTACACTCTTCTACTTTTTGCTGGTTGTTTTGGAGGACTTTTGCCCAGATAGACTTTGAACTGTGACCTTCTAGGTCTCAGCCTCCTCAGTGCTATGAGAAACAACAGCTCTACATGTGTCACTTCTAGTCATACCTCTCAGCCCAGAGGTCCAGAGGAGAAGGGCTGGACACAGACTGAAGCGTAGCACGGGGTGTCAGCCCGCAAACACGTGGCCAGCTAGCCTCTGCCTCAGGGGGGCTCACCAGAGATGGAGACTGGGGTACCAGTGGGCAACAAAGCAGACACATCTGGACACCAAACACTGCTCCAAGGATTCAAGTGAATAAATTTACAGATCAGTCTAAGAAATCCAAACACTGGCAAGGGTCAGGTGCATATTTTCAAGCATGTACCTAAAACAGAGCCCTGAGATTCACAAGTCAGGTGAGACAAACGAATAGCTTGCCTGCTTCTAGGAACTCTTTTTGGTGTTAGGATCTTCTTTACTGCCTGAAGATTTGTGGGCTAGGAAGGTGGCTCAGTGGTAGAGTGCTTGCCTTGCATGCATGAAGCCCTGGGTTTGATTCCTCAACACCATACACAGAAAAAGCTCGAAGTGGTACTGTGGCCCAAATGGTAGAGTGCTAGCTAGCCTTGAGCAAAAGAAGCCCAGAGACAGTGCCCAGCCCCTGAACTCAAGCCCCAGGACTAAAAAAACAAACAAACAAGATTTGTGAGTACCCCAGGAAATTTGTGCTCACTTAACTATGCCTATCAATACTTATTTGAAATTAGAATAGAAAATGTTCAAATGTTTATTACACATTATTTATTGAATAGTACTTATTAGCTAATTACAAAGGTGAACGTATAGCGGGGCTCATGCCGTAACCCTAGCTACATTGGAGGATGAGCTCTGACGACTGGGTTTCACAACAGCCTGGGCAGCAAGTCCATGAGACTCTGATCTCCAATTAATCACAAAAAAAGCCAAAAGTGGAACTACGTACAGTTCAAGTGACAGACTTGAGCAAAAGGAGCTCAGAGACAGCACTCAGGCCCAGAGCTCAAACCCCATGACTGGCCAAAAAAAGTGAATGTATTACACAGTAACATACAAAACATTTTTAAAGAAAAATAATTATAGAGTCCAAAGAAACAACAGAAGCTTAGGGGAAGAGGGATGATATTATGCACTTTTACAACTTTAACAAAAGCTTAGGGGAAGAGGGATGATATTCTGTACTTTTACAACTTGAACACCAGACTAAAGCCGCAGCTGGGCTCTCCCGCTGCTCCTGCCTCTGTCCATGCAGATGGGCAGCGTTGGCCGACGACTGTGACCAAAACCCAGGCTCACAGGGCAACAGCGGCAAGGCCAGAGTATGGCCTTGTCATGTGATCAGGGATACTCTCCTCTAATGAAAAACCAAGGCACAGTGGGCACCTCAGTTTTCCTCAAAGGCTAACTGCAATGCGGAGCCTGAAACTGATGACCTTGACTGGAAAGCCCACAGGTCCATCTCACACTTTAAGTGGATCTTTGACCCATGCATGACCTTGACCCATCACCTAAGGACTTGCTGTCTGAAATACGCAGGCCTGCGCATGCCCTGTGTTGTACAGCCTCAGCACCTCGGGTCTAACCCTGCCAGAGCACATCCCTGAGGGAACTGACCCCAGAGCTGAGGCTTAATGCACTGCTACATCAAAAATACATCTGGGTGAAAATGGCATCTGTCTTTCCATTGCCTGGCGGCAGAAAACACAGCACAGAGTTTGCGGCCGTGGCCTTGAGAGGTGCTGGAGCTCCCGCAACTTTAGCCACCACCAGTCCTGGACCATCAAATATACAAATGGTGACACAGAAAAAGGCTGCTGAGCTCTCAATACCACTAAGAAAACTGTCTCAACCTCACGGGCCTCCTGGAAAGGGCTCCGGCCGCCACAATTAGATAATGCACACGGGCCCCACGGCAGGCACGCGCTTTCACCGGGAGCGCTGTCCCTACCACTGCTGACTGCTGTCTGCAGCCTTCGCCTTCCACCTGGGCCGGCTTTAGACCAGCGCCGCGGGCTGCGGCCATGCCACGGCGTCCCACACGGCACTGCCGAGCCGGCTCCCCGTCAGTCACAGCTGGTGCCGCCCACCTCCCAGCTGCGTGGGGAGAAGCCCTGTCTGCCCTCCTGCTCTGCTCCCTTTCAGTATGCACCATCACCAAGTAGCCACTGGATCCTCTGAGCTCCCGTCCCTGCTCACACCTGCTGTCCCAGGACATCCTCTTGCTGAGGCCTCTGGCACAACCGTCACCTCTCTGTGACACACCCACTGATGGTGTAGTGACACCACGTGTCTTGCCAGCCCTCCAAGCGTAACACATGGCTGAACAGGAGCCCAAGCCTCCGGACGCAGCCTATCAGTAACTTCTGAGTGAGTGGTGCTCTTCCAATGAGCTCCTGCCCCAGAGCCCATCAAGGGCCTCCTCTATCGCCAGGCCCAGACCTCCACCCCTCTTCAGAGCTCTAGCCCTTCGGCCAGCTCCAGGGCCTGCCATGGGGGACAAACAGGCCTGCAACCCATACAGCTTACCCCATTCCTGAGGCTTTATGCCTTAAAATAGCTGAGGAAGAAATTTAAAAGAAGAAGAATGTTTCAGGAAGGGAAGATTATAGGCAACTTTCAATGTTCCCAAGTAAGGTTTGACTGGAACACAGCCAGGCCCAGCTTTGTGGCACTGCCCCTGCTTCTTTAGTGATACAACACAGGGCCAGTGAGCTACCCAGTTGCAACATTTACACTCGGAGAAATGAACTAAGCCCTAAATGGCAGGCTGTGGGGGGGTTTGGGCCCTGAGCTCCCTGGCAGATTACCTGTTGCAAGGCTGTTAGATCTCCACAGATGATAAACTATTTGGATGAGAAAATAAGTCTTAACCTATGGCAAACACCATAACCTCTAAAACAGGTTTTTTAAATGTGATTTTTGGGTTGTTTTTACAAATAAACTGTACATATTACTTCCAAAGTATCTGAGACCCGTCAGATGCTATTTGCAATGATCGGCAAACAGCACATACCTCCTCCTGGACCTGAAGGTAACAGTCATGTTCATCTGTATCACTGAAGAAAAAGTCCTGGGAATCAACATTTGTCCCTTAACCACGTCAATACATGCTCCTTTTATTATTATTATTATTATTATATGCACTTCCTAATGCCAGCCATGGCACCCTTAGCAGATTTAGACCCAAGGATAGAAACTAGTGCATCTGAATAAAGTCAATATCAATTTCTAGAGATCACAAGTTCAAGAACACCAGAGCTCGATTCAAGGGCAGCGGAAGCCATGTGTGGAGACCGCATGAGCCTCAGCCGCCTCTCCTCCACTTCTGCCACTGCTCTTCCTGATTTGAACAGAAATATCTGGAGATGGGAGGGGGAGCTGAAGGAAGACAGACCACAACCTGCACCTTGAGAGGAGAAAGCTGTTTCCAAATGCTGTGTTGACTTCTGATGACACATTAAGTCCAACTACACTTCATTTCCCACTAAGATAAAGAGTTTAAGATAAACTAAAACTTTAAAGTCAGGCTCAGAATGTAGCTTAGTGGTACAGTGTTTGCCTTGCATGCATGAAGCCCTGGGTTTGATTCCTCAGTACCACCTACACAGAAAAAGCTGAAAGTGGCTCTGTGGCTCAAGTGGTAAAGTGCTAGACTGTGCAAAAGCAGCTCAGGGACAGCGCCCAGGCCCTGAGTTCAAGCCCCAGGACTGGCAACAACAAACAAAAACTTTGAAGTCATTTTTCACTGAAACATATTCCTGTACAAAACAAAGGACACAGTATAGTAGTATACACATGAAGTCCCAGCACCAGGAGACAGGATTGTGAGTTTGAGGCCAGTGTGAGCTACACAGCTACACCTTGTCTTAAAATAAACAAAGAAAACAGTCAGGCACCGGTGGCGCACGCCTGTCATCCTAGCTACTTATCAGAAGGCTGAAATCTGGGGATCATGATTCAAAGCCAGCCCGGGCAGGAAAGTCCATGAGACTCTCATCTCCAATGCACCACCAGAAAACCAAAAGTGGCGCTGTGGCTCAAGGGGTAGAACGCTAGCCTCAAGCTGAAGAGCTGAGGGACAGCACCCAGGCCCAGAGTTCAAGCTCCACGACCGACAAAAAATAAAAATAAAATAAAGAAAATAAACAATACACCAAAATTACAACACTGTGCAGGAACAGAACCTATCACAATTTACAAACGTTCTCTTTTGCAGAACGGAGGTGGAACGCAGGTCCTGGTGCGTGTTAGGCAAGTGCTCTAGCACTTGAGCCACTCCCTAGCCTTACAACAAATGTACCAGATAAAAGTCACTTCCCACAGGCAAAAACACAGCTGTTCTAAGAGCGGGGGCTCAAGGGAGCTGCCACCTGAAATTCCATACAATCGGGAGGCATGTGCCAAAACCTTAAGGAAATCTGTACCCTTAGCCAGGCCACATAAAAACAAAACACAAACAATCACTAGACATGACAGTAGGAGCTGATGCAGACTCCAGGCCGTGGCCGGCTCACACCAACCTCCCAGCTGCCTGGGACCCACATGAAACCAGGCAGCGCACCAAGGAGAACCAAAACAGGGAAATGCAGCGAGGCAGACCACCTGGCCCACTGAGTCCAGACTCAGAAGATGTGCAGGTGTTGGTGGAGCCCCACATAGCTCCTGCCTGCTCAGTGACAGTGAACACATCCCCTTCCAGTGGCCACCTCAAAACCAAGAAGCCAAGTACTGAGTTCAGAGTACTGAATTCAGCAGGGCTTGTCAGGACTCAATGGGTGATCCACGCTTACTCCTGGGGAAGACAGGCAAAAGACAGAACTGCACTGCAGCCCCAAGATGACTGATGGGTTCAGACTAAGACTGAGGAAAAGTTCAAGGGATCACAAGACCTACAAAGTATGCAGTGTCTTTATGAAGCCAACATAAGTATTAAAATGTCTTAAAATGGCAGGACATCTCATACCTGTTTGAAATGCAATGAAGACTGTTACAAATTTGGATGGTATCACACTCAGGTAAGGTACCAAGTAAAGCTTCCTTTAAAGCTAAAGACCAGGCTGCACACTTCTCGCTCCAAGTTAAGGCAGGAGGAGTGTAAGCCTGAGCTATGTAGGGAGACCCCATGTTCATTTTGTTTCAAACAAAACAATTTGACTTAAGACTCATGATTCATTCATTAATCCTCTGCCTTTCAGGAATGTTCTTCTCACCTTACTATAGGATGAACACACTTTTAACTGGATAAGCCAAAATATTTAAATTACTTTGATAAACAAACCAACTCTGAATCAGTCCTTGACAATCAATCATTACCCAGCCCAACAAGAACATGCTAAGAGAGCCCTGGTCAGTCGATGGGCGTGCACTTGTGTGCATGCACACATGCATTGTGGTACTGAGGTCTGAACTCAGGGTCTCCAGCTTGCTGGACAGGGATCTACCACGGGAGCCAAGCCCCAAGGTACATACCTTCCTTTGAACCTAGCAGATGACCTGTGTCAGTGTTCTCTCTGGCCCTGGCTCTGGCTGCTGCCCACTTGCCACTCAGCCTGGGCAGACTCAATCCCTGAGGCCTCTGCCCCCAACCGTTCTGGCTCAGGATTTCCCAATGCAATGGCCGGAGGAAACAGCTATCCAAATGTATTTGTCAGAAAGAAACCTAGCCTTTTGATTGTACTGAACTTGTCTTTTATAAACACTTTGGTGCCTAATTTAGAATTATGTGTGACACACAAATAGTCAAAGGGAGAATTTTATGGAGTCTTTTTCTTTTGCAAATCTGAATAAGATTCAGAGTTTAGATAACAGGGATGTGGTAATGCTAAGCTCCTGACTGTGGTAAATGTACCACAGTTATAGAGAATGCCCTTATTTCTAAACTGATCAAGAAACACCGCATCTTACAATGTTCAGCATATACACATACAATGGCTGAGAAGGACAGAGGCTGTAGAAAGAGGGTAAACAAGGAGAAACTGCTGACATTTGAAATACAGTAGAAAACTATAATTCTTAGCATTTTTTTGCAATTTCTCAGCCTGAATTACTTAAAACAAACAAGCTCAATTCACACTCAAAGATGTTGGGGCTTTTTCTGAAAAAAAGCAGTGGCAGAAAAACAATGGACATGTTCTCCAAGTTTCATGGTGACTAATTAACCATACTTCTGAGAGGCTGTTCAATTACGATGTCTCCCAAATAAACTAAAAGCCCCTAAAATACTTGTAGTGCCTTCTCCAGTGAAATGGGCTCGCCAGCACTCCACGCCCACACGTCAGTAGTGGACAGCCAGACACCAGAGGGTCCCAAACGCTGAACCCACCCAGCCCTCAACTCCCCTCTGGTCTGTGTCCAGCTCACATCAGTACAGCCAGGGGAGGGTCTGGACCCACAAAGCACTGCTGCAGCCAAAGGCAGCCACTTTGTGCCTTGGCTACTTTCAAGACAGTCTTGCTTTATGCCCAGGCTGGCCCGGGCTGCATTCCCACGTGTGCTTTGCCATGTCACTAGGGACAGCAGATAGGTGCCACCGTGCCCAGCCATGTGCTTCCCCAGTAGCTGGGATAACAGGCAACAGGCGTGCACCACTGGATGGAGCCACTGAGATGGCAGTCTTTCAAACTCTGATGGCCGGGCTAGCCTCGAACTATGAAGAAGCCAGGATTCCAGGCTTGAGCCACTCCCCGTGGCAAGCCTGTCTTTATTACTCGGTACAGGACCTGGCCTCAAGCTTGCACCAGCCCACCCACTCACATTATCTCTATTCTGAACGGAACTCCTGAGAGAAGGGCCAGGGCAATTTTCGCACACACATTCCATTCCACCTACCATCTTTCCCAATGATGTAAAACCAGATCCCTTTCCACTTCAGTACTCAACTTTATTCTTTCGTAACTCATCATGGGGAGCAGTCCTGCAGCTTCCCTGTCCCAGCGTGAGGCTGGTCTATGCAAGGGAGCCTAGCAAAGGCAAGGCCCACGCTGCCCGCTGCCCCGTGCACAGTCCCTCTGCCCTGAGGGGCTCCTACAGACAGGAACTCCAGGTGAGATCCAAAGCAAACTGGCTCTGGAACTCCCAACATTGCTATTTCCCAAACTCCACCCCATAAGCCAAAGGAACACTCCAGAATACTTTAGAACACTTCTGTTGAACAATTCTTTAGGAGTTTTTGACCATAAAAAATCTTTATTTACCACAGGTATGAGAACTTTAAAGTTTTCAATCTGAGACATTCTTGTTGAGATCTTTAATATGTGATCTCCTGCAGGTATCTTTTCTTCTGAAACTAAATTTTTTTTCTTCCAGATTTAAGTGGCTGAAGTAGTACTTTTAAGTAAGATGGGTATTTTGAAGTCTGCTTTGAATTGCCTGAATGGTCATGTAATTTACAAGTCATATGCCTAAAGCTTACAGGATTTAGATCCTAGGGGTGACACTTCTGACTCTGTGAGACGGTTGTCACTAAGCTGACTGCAAATATACCTGGCACAGAGCCTCCTCTTCATCACCTGATCACCACACTCCACAGGAAGTGGCTGGCAGCTCATTTCTTTATTTTGGGTCTGGTCGTGGGGCCTGAACTCTGGGCCTGGGCGCTGTCCCTCAGCTCTTCAGCTCAAGGCTAGCGCTCTACCACTTGAGCCACAGCGCCACTTCCG